TTTCTGGAGGTTGGGGGTCGTATGGTCTGAATGATCATTAAGATATCTACGCTGCCGTCTGACTTTAGAGAACAACTTTAGATGTTGTACCACAGTGGAGACAGAGCCTGGTCTGGTTCTTCTTCTGTGGACTGATGGTTTCCAAATGCGTATGTGGGGATGAAGCAGCATGTCAGTGGATGGGCTCACAGTTCGTGTTCAGACTGGTTTATAACCAACACAGTGTTCCTCTGTGTCTTGTATCAAAAGTGACCTGAGACTGGGAGATTACTCCAGTGTTGGACAACTGCACCAATCTGAAGTGTGACCTGATAAAACTGGTGGTTGTTTGTCTTTGACCGGATGTTAAAGCACAGGCGCGCTGGGTCAAATCTGTTTGTCACAGAGTCGTTCAACGTTCTGCTAAAGCAAGGAGTTTGGGCTGGTGTATGTTTTTGACCATGTATGGTCACATCCCATAATCTGTACTATGTATCTGAGTGAAATGAAGGAGCGGTCTCGTCGCACACTTCGACCTCAGACTGCTTCGCCTCGGCACTGTTCTGTTTTACTGTTAAAAGTGCCGGTGACTGACGCCTGACCTTTCTCTATTTAAAGATGGACAGGAGTCTGTCCTCTCCACTGTCACTGAGATATGGTCACTGACAGGACAAAGACAGAAATGATTTAGTTAGGGAGGATGCTCTGATATGGAGTCTTTGGAGGATGTTGTGAGGTTATGTGTGAAAAACTTCTGTTGCATGTCTTGCAAACTATTTACTGCTGTGGCCACTGGGGGCAGTGTGGTGCAATACTGAATCTCTTGTTGTTTACACTGAGTTCATACAGGAATAAGAAGCTGAGTTTTTTTGAGGTCATGTCAGATGGAGCTGATGTGATGACATTGACGGGTCAGTTTCTGCCTTTGGCTCACAGGCACTGAGCTCCGTGTCACATTTACAGCCACAACGCGTGCGTGCGTGCTGAGCTGCCCAACAAAGATGTGTGTTTCTGCAGTGGCCGTAGGCGGGAAAATCTTAAGGACAGGAGCAGGTGATGACGTCACAGTGTTCTCTGTGGATGACGCAGCACTCTGTTTGTTTCCATGGTAACTGCTATAGAATGCACCAAGAGTGTGCGTGCGTGCACATTTCCCGTGCGTGTGTGATTCGGACTGTTGGTGTAATGTGATGCTGTGATGCAGCCTGTCTTCTGTTTCAGTGCTGTGAGGCAAATGCCTGCCTGTAAACAGAAACCTGCATGGGATGAACCGGTTTAAGTTGGTCGTGGATTTTTATTTCTTCACCACGTCTGAATGACATACAGAGACAATTTCCTGAAAGGTAGTTTTCAAGCATCAGAGTCTCGCTTTGAGAACGTAGCTGGATGCTGACTCAGCACTTTAGATCTTATGTACTAAAAAAAAAGTTCCTCAACAGGAAGGAGATGAAAAATGTAGTCCTGTATCCATGTTCATGTCACGGCCGTAGTCACATGACCCCGGGAACTACTGTATGTTAGAAAATCAGCTCTAAACCCGGTCATCGCTGCAATGATTTAAATATTAACAACAGGTTCAAAAGGGCAGAGTGTGAACTGTGGCACCGAGCCGCTCCTCTGGTTGCTCTGAAATTTCCACTGCGTACAGTTTAAAGTGAACGACTTTAAACACTTTGACAGGGCTCAAATCTGAAATGCTTTGCCGTCTGCTATTATTTCTATTGGCTTTAAAAAAAAACTGGAGGTCTGTTAATATTATTGAGACAACACAAGTGAGCATAATTTATGTTTAAATAGTTAAAAGTAAAAGAATAAAAGTAAAATTTAGATTCTAATTTGTATTTAAATATAATGTATGTATCTGCACAGTGCGCTGAACCTGCAGCCAGGCCCTAAATAATCCACAATGAAAACACCGGAGGCGACTGTTACTGCCGTCACCACACAGCAGTCGACAGTGGCTGGGATACACACACACACACACACACACATACATTCTTTGCAGCTATTTTTTTCTCTTGACGTTCACTCCTTTTGACAGCCACTTTTAAAAGAGTTAGTTTTAGCCTTTTGACTATGACTTAGCTTTAGTCCAAATTAAGTTTTATTCCACAAATGAAAACAAAAACCAAGTAAAAATTATTTTAGCTGACTAGAATGTCACATGTAATATTTTTCTTATGTTTTAATTATTTATTTATTAGTGGATTGATTGATTGGTTGATTGGTTATAGGAAACCATCTCTTATGGACCATTATCAAAAGTTTATCTTTTTTTTTTTAATTACTGTAAACCAAATGTGTTCTCATCGATGTCATTTTTGGTTTCCTCTCACTTTGGACATTTTTCTATTTCTCCTCTGAGGCCAGAAAACGTTAACATTTGGTTTGTTTTTTTCTGGACTTGATGATGTCACTGGTCTCCTGTTGAGGGGAACCACTTTGATCACGTCTCCACTCCTGTCACTCACTGCGTGTCTCCCCGGCCTTCTCTGGATAGAACCTGGCTCAAGAGGAAGTCCTCATACACAGCAGGGTCCAGAGTCTAATGAGCGTTTTGAACAGCAGGGGTCAGAGGACGTCAGTTCAGCTTTACTCTCTCCGTGTCAGAGACAGTGAGACGTCCGGGCCGACAGTAATGCGGGACATGTTTCTCAGGGAAAGACGGCATCTTCAGTGACTGACAATCTGGGCAATTTTTGAATATTTTTTTTGGGTCACACCAATCAGAGGTCACGACCTGTACTTTGGGACTGTAAAAGGAACTTTGTTTTATTTTGAACGTGAAGATTTCTCTTCTGACCAAACAACCGTTTCCTCTTTTTACAGAAGATCTCCAAAGACTTTTATTTTCATAACACTCTTCCCTTTCTACAGGTGTTAGTGATTTTGATATAATCTGCTCAGTTTTTTAAACATCATCTTTCTAGGTTGTAGTCTTGGACCCGGGAGCTGCGTGATCCAGGGAAATTCTCCTAATTTTGTCTAACGTGCCATGTGTGTAAAATCATTTAAATGTTGGATTTCTGCACTTAACTACTGACTAATGTGAAATCTGACATTTCTGCATCAGATACAGAACAATGTCCTGGATCTGGTCGCCTTTATTTAGCTGCTCCTCCTACTTTCTGCCCGTGACCCACATACTGCTCACACACTCTGTTCCTCCTCTAAGCAGGATAGGAGTTAAATGTAAAAATTAATGAATTCATTTTTTTAACAAAATTGATATAATTGAAATGTTTCCTTTACTAATTTATGTAGTGTATTTTAATATGTATTATTATGTCTTTAGTCTTAGACTAAGATGTAGGGTATATAAACAATAATAAAGCTTCCAGTGTAGGTTACAGGTTGTAACCTAAGGGGGCAGTATTTTTCCGCTCTCACCAACAGTGCGCTGATGTTCTCTCTCCCCTCAGTTTTCCAGATGTCCAGATGGTGACGTCACAGCAGCTAAAGATGTTTGCATGTGGAAGATGATGGACAGCAGGTCCGGAAGTGACTGAGGATATTGTTGAAGCACAGATGTAGAACAACAGTGCTCTGTCCCAGCTCGGTTCTCTGGCCCAGACATGAGTTTGTCAGAGTCAACTCAGAGCTTCCAGGTCAGAGGGAAAGGTTCCTCCAACATGAGGCTTCCTCTTCACAGAGCGGAAGACCTGAATGGAAACACTTTCTCGCTTTCTTCTTCCTCTCCGTCCTCCTCGTCCTCAGCATCTCCTGAGTCACATCGGAGTGTGAGCAGCCTCAGTGGGAGTCAAACCCACAGCCCTGTGGACTATGACATGTTAGAGATCACCCTGACCACCACAGTGGTGACCAAAACCACGGATGTTGTCGTGTTCCAGTGTGGCGACCACGAAGAGGCCTCTGTGGAAAAGTTGGAAGCCAACAAAGACCTGTCGGAATCAAACGACAACTCCGTGTCCATTTACCTGGACGCCAGCAGCGGGGAATACTGCCAGGACACCTGGACTGACAAGGAGAACCTGGATCTGGATCTGACAGGAATCTGCTGCAGTCAAGATGAATATGAGGACGTGAGCAGTGGAAGTGAGAGGAAGAACCTGTCCTCAAACCAAGACTCAGATGTGACAGAAGTCCCAGCTGAGGATGATGACGACGATGAAGAGGCGGAGGAGCTGGAGGAGGAGGAAGGCAATGAGGATGAGGCTCTGTTTCAGTCCGTGAGTTCAGAACCGAGTGTGCAGAGAAACAACACAAGATGTCAGTCTAACAGGCTAGAGGTGGGCACTCCTGAGGACCTAAAAGAAGACACCCATCTGTTGTCACATGATCTCACCCACCCACCAGAGGAAGACTGCAAGAAACTAACATCTGAGGAGGAAGGCGGAGAACACACAGAGGTCTTTAAGCCCGGCCGGTCCGACATCCATCAGTCTGACAGAGCAGTGAGGAGCAAACCCAGCTCAGCCTCAGCCTCGGCCTCGGCCTCAGCCTCAGCTCAGAGCAGGTTCTCAGACGCAGGGTCATCCCCCAGTGTGAGGGTGAGGAGGCTCCCAGGACCAGACCTGAGACACGTCAAGGCTAAGGTGGACTCCCGACCCACTCTCAGCCCAGCTAAAGCATCCACTCAGGTACTGTACAGTTACTGACACAGTGACACAGTGGCACAGACAGCATAATGCAGAAACTGAAGTTTGTTTTTGTTTTTTTTTAATGAAAATCATCAGGTATTACTATGACCTATAACAATAGTGATAATAGTAATGCTATTGACATGACACAAAGTATTTTTACTGAAGTGTTAGCATCACACTAGTGCGTAGCATTCTGTTTTGGAAGTTTGTCCTTACCGCAGCTAGGCTAAGCTAACCCTGCTAGCACCCTGAGCCTCTGTCTTCTTCACTGGTCTCTACCAGCAAATATGAATCTTGTTTTATCATTTGTCTGTGGTGAAATTTTAAAATGTTCCTGTTAGTCAGTTTGTAAAAAGAATCCTGTAGATACAGAGAAATCTTCTAATTTGCACGAGGCTAATGCATAAAAGTAGATGTAAAAAGTCTTCCTTAAAGTTTCTTTTCATTTTTTTTTTTTAAGTAATTAGCGCTTATGATGTCACATTAAACTACTAAAAACAGCAGTAGCTTCTACAGGTGACTTCAAGGACAGGTTAGTGCAGTAGAAGTTAAGGTGCAGTAAAACTCCATCTATCTACCGGCAGACCTCCAACGATCTGATGCTCTCCTCCCTCCACTGTGTTGTGCTGCTGTTCAGTTGTAGTATATTGTACCACTGCACAGTGTGTTTACAGCCGGGAGTATTAGGTGTGTGTACAGCGTGTGTACTTGTCTCTGGTATGTGCTGTTTAAAAGATCCAGTAGTCAGTGACAGGTTTAGAACCTGCCCCGGCGTGGCTCCTCCTTGGCCGCCTCAGGGTTTGTTTCAGTGTTGGGCAATAACTGAGAAAAGTGAGATTAAGTGTGCTATTTAAAAACTTATGATTTTTATAATCATTTAAACAAAATGAAAGTGTAAACCGCCCACATCCAGAAGAATCCAAATTAAATGAAGTACGTGTGGGATTACCCATTAATGGCCGTAGAAGCTGAGCTTCAACAGGGTTTAATAAGCCTCGCTGCTACAGGAAGGCGTGAGAAGAAGAAAATGTGATCACACACAGTGTCTCTGTGACAAACGGCTGTTGTCATATAGTTGATCAGGTTCTAGCCAACTGGACGCGCTTCAATGCCGTCTCTATGACATCATTGCTTCCCGGCGAATCGGCGCTGCTCTCTGCCTGTTAT